AAAATATATATACTTATTATAAGCTATATATTTATTAAAGCTATATTAAATTTATACTTTAATAATCTATACTTTTAAATTAAAATAAAAACTCGATTTTTAATATTAATATTTTAATAAATTACTTATAATAAGTCTTTATTATATTTTTATCTACGATTTATAAAAAATTATAAAAAAATAAAAAGTTTTAAGATTAGTTAATATATATATAACTTATATATAATTAAATTTAAAAAATAATACTTTTTAATAGTTATAAAAATATTATTTATAATAGCGCTAGATAACTTAATTAAATTTAATAAATAATAAAAATATACTTTATATAAGATTTAAATTTATTTAAATTTATTTAAAATATAGAGATTAAATTACTAATCAAAAAGATATAGAATATTTTATAGAATATTTTATATTAAGTAATATTATATCATATCTAGATATAATATAAATAGAGTTAAATATTATATTATTTTTCTAATATAAATTCGAAATCTTAATAAAATATTCTACGATATAGTATATCTATAGTATTATACTATGAAATAATATATATATGAAATATTCTTATTGAGATTTCTATATTTAGAAGTATAAATAGCTATTCTAATTATTATTCTGGCTAATTATAACTATCACTATTATCTACTATAACTGTTACTATTATGACTGCCACTATCATGGCTGTCACTATCATGGCTACTACTATCATGAGTACCCCTATCATAACTGCCCCTATCATGATCACCTCTATCATAGCTACCCCTATCATAGCCACCCCTATTATAACCACCCCTATTATGGCTATTACTATCATAACTACTACTATCATAACTATCATATGATAGTAGACTATATTAATAATAAATAGTGATAGCTATGATAGTGATAGCCATGGTAGTGGTAGCTGTTAGAATGTCAGATATGTGATGTGTAGAACGGACGGATTAATTCTCCAGAACCTCTCCGAGGCTAGGTTTTAAATATAGTACAAAATTAGGTAGCTAGAAAACATGGTGACTGGGATGCGCGGGGGCCATATTTCGGTGGTAGTCATGATAGTAGTAGCCATGGTAGTGGTAGATATGGTAGTGATAGATATGGTAGTGGTAGACATGGTAGTGCCAGCTATGGTAGTGCCAGCCATGGTAGTGACAGATATGGTAGTGGCAGGCATTGGTAGTGGTAGCTATGGTAGGGGCAGCCATGGTAGTAGTAGCTATTATGTCGGATTTATCGAATAAATGTATCTAAATATAGAAATTCCAGTCGGGATATCCCATATATATACCATTTCATGGTATGATACCACAGATATACCATACCGTGGGATATCCCGCCAAGATCCTATATTATACTAGGTATGGGATCATGTAAATCTTAATAACTTATACTATACCAGAGTATGGTATAATAGGTTAATATCCCATACTATATTATACCTTTTCGGCCAGTAGTTTAAATATTATATTATAATTAAATTAAATTATTTTATCTTAAATTTATTTAAAATATAGAGATTAAATATTATATTATAATTAAATTAAATTATTTTATCTTAAATTTATTTAAAATATAGAGATTAAATATTATATTATAATTAAACGAGTAAAGGCCTATGAATTAAATTCATAATTATTATTTTAATTAGAACTATCGAGTAAGTAGGTAAGCGAACTTTAGTGAGCGAACTTTAGTGAGCGATATTTGAATGCCTTGCGCTTTAATAATTATAAGACTAAATTTCAAAATTATTAAAAATTCGGGAAGCACAAATAGCGCTTTAAAATTTACAAAAAAAATTATAAAATTTTGATAGAAATAAAAAGGTAATTCTATATGTTAATAATGTATATCTATTTTTTTAATAAGAGAGACGCGGGAGGGCGAGATTTTAATAGTTGCGAACGCTAATTCATTTATTCGCGGTAATTTAGCTAATCTAATTAAAGAGTATAGCGAATTTATTTTAATAATTAATTATATATATAAATTTAAGGTTTTTAAGCTTAACTCTATCTTATTCTATTATATATATTAATTAAATTATTTTATCTTATTTTAAAGATAATTATATATTAAATAAATATAATATATATTAAATAAAGAATTAAAATAATAATATAAATATCTATTATATTATTTATATTATTATATTAAATAATCTATACAACTATAATTCTCTTATAAGAATTATAATTTAATTTAGATTAATCTTTATAAATAAAATAAAATTTATATATATAAATATAAATATATCTTATTTAATATTATAACTTTAAATTTTATATTATAAATAGTTAAAAAAGATAATCTATAGATTTAAATATATCTTTATCTTTTTTAATTTAAATATTTTAAATAAAAACTTTATTATATTATAATACTCGATTATAGATTTATATAATATAGATTTTATATTTATTAATTTATAAAGAATAAATTATATTAATTTTAATTATTATTTTAAGATACTTTCTAATTTAATAAGAGTAAAATAAATAAATATTTATTTATTAAATATTATTAATATCTATAATTTTAATTTAATAAATATAATTACGCTACGTAACGAAGTAAAGTAAGACGAGATTTTAGATACTTAATATTATTTCGCTTCGAGATAGTATTTTAACGAGATAAGGTCGAGTTAGATTACTCTCGTTAAGTGTTTACTTAGATTAACTAGAGACTATTATCTTAATAACGCCTTAATCTTAAATATCTTATTATCTTTCTAAGTAACTATATCTTATACTCTTATTTAAACTAAGATATCGTATTTTATACTCTATTTTATTCTATTTTTAATATATCTTATTAAAATTTAGAGGAGTTATTTAGAGATACTTAGAGTTTATTAAGATAATAAAAAATATTATAAAATCTTACTTTCGAGTTAAAACGAGATTAGAGTTTCGAGAAAACTAGAAACCTCGACTCGAAACCTTACTCCAACCTCGATCTCTCTAAAAACTTCGTTAAGATCTCTTATTTCGTTACGTAGCGTAAATATAATAATAATAATTACTTTTATTATATTTAAGTACTTACTTTTTTTTAAATAATTAAATTTTATTAAATTTTAAAATAATTAATATATATGTAAATTAAATATAATAAAATCTATTATTAATATATATTAATGAATTATCTCTTAAATACTCTTATAGTTTTCTCTATTAAATATCGATTTAATATTTATAAAATAAAGAATTTTAATTATACTTATTCTAGAATATTAATATATATAAAAGAATAAGATAGAGCTAATCTAAAAAATCTTAAATTTATATATATAGTTAATTATAAATTTAGAGTTATTATACTCTTTAATTAAATCGACTAAGTTAGCTCGCTAGCCCTCTCGAGATCTCTTATAAAAAAACTAGATATATATTATTTATAATAGAAATAACTTTCTTATTTTCTATTGAAGTTTTAAATTTTTTTTTATAAATTTCGAAACGCTATTTACGCTTTTTAAACTATTAAGAATTTTAAAATTTAATCTTATAACTATTAAAGCGTAAGGAATTCAAATATCGCTTATTAAAGTTCTCTTACTAAAGATTACTCATCTATTTACTCGATAGTTCTAATTTAAAAAATAGTTATAAATTAAATTTATAGGCCTTTACTCGTTTAAATATAATAGTATAATCTTAAACTTTTTTAATTATTACTTTACGCTAATTACTTTAATTAATAATAAGATTAATCTTTATAACTATAGCTTATATAATTAATACATATTAATATTATATACTATAGATTTATTATAGAAGTTAATTTTATAAAGAGTAAAATAATAAATAATAAATTCTTTACTTTTACGTTATCTTATTTATTATTACTTATATTACTAGCATTTAATAAAATTAATAAAATAACTTATTTATATATATTAATACTTTAATACTATCTAATTATTAGATATTTTCTATTATAATAGTATTATAAATATATTAAATAAATATATTAGATATTATAGCGTATACTAGATATTTATTTAAGAGTAAAATATTATAATAAAGATAAAAGAGAAAATTTATAAATTTATAAATTAGTTATCTTACGCGAATTAATATCGCTAAATTAAAGTAACTTTTTTTTACTTTTAATAAGATATTAGTATATGCTAAGTATATTTCTTTTATTTCGAACGAGATATATATACTTAGCATCTACTTACCTCTATCGAACTTTTTTTTATCTCTATTAAGCTATAAATCCTAAATGTAATTCATCGGCCTATACTTGTATACTCATAGTTAGTTATTAATCAAGCCTTGTGTGCCACTGTAGAACCTTAATCTTTACCTCACAACAAGCGCCCGTATCTACCTAGCCAGTCAGCATGCCGACGTGCAGGGCGGGGTAGTCGCATACAGCTCGAGGGACCGGGATTGGTTACAGCTGACCGAGGCCATGATCGGCGAGCCTTTTCCCGTACGTCGTGTTCTGCGCACCGGTATGTAGTGCGGTCCGTGAAGCCGTCTAGGCTGTGTAATTTAGTCTAATTGAGAAGACGTGTTCACTCTTTCCCCAACCTTCCAACATTGCGCAGCGAGTAAAGAAGAGCGAGAAAGAATTCTTGACCCGCTTCTCGCTGTCAAAAATCTTGATGATGCCTACATATGACACCGAGATTAATGAATGGGTTTATCCGCCACCCGAGAAGTTTGATTGCGCCAAACCATTATTGTTGACTTCAGGAGAGCAAACATCCGATACATGTCAAAACATTCAGAGTGATACAAAGCCTATCGAAATTCCTCAAATTATTTACAAAGAAGAGGTGAGGAACATGTTACCGTTTTATACCACCTAGTGAATAAAACCGACTAATTTGACAGAATGGCGCGTATACGAATTTTGCTCACTACAAAGACAAGCATCCCGACGTGACTTTGTTAGATATGCTGCAGCAAATATGCAGCGTAGCTCAAGTCAAGGCGTGCCGGAACGAAATCTGCTGCTCTATAAAACAAAAAATGGAAGATACTCCTGCCCCTGCTTGTGAATGGAAACACTTTCGCGATTGGGCCCTTGTTGTTGTCTCTTGCCAACTGAACGCAAGCCAAAAAGGACTAGAGGTCGAGACTTGGAATTTGGCATCGATTATACACACCTTATCGATGGAGGTATATTACCCAGGACATGAGAAGCCGAAGGCGTCTGTGATCTTGTTCGACCTCTGTGAGCTAATCAACTGGTTGAATACTATCAACTCCTTCATCCTACCTGAATTCGAGTTTAAACAACCATTGCGAACACACATATCTAGGCAAGAAATCGTCGAAGCTACTCAGACAGCGCATAAAAACGGTATTTGTATGAATCGGCTCTGGAACCTGGCGGTAGGGGGACATGAGAGGGAAGAGGTTGACTTACCTGTTCTCATGAGAATGCTACAAAGCCAAAATCGGACAGACTCGTCTGATGTCGAAACATCGCACCGGAGTTCAGGACATGATACCTGCACCGCAGAAGTCTGCTGTTTTAGCAGTATTGATAGCACCCGTGTTCAACAGCTTCACAAGTGCTCAGACAAAGCTTGCGATGATATACTATGGTTCCGAACCTCAGGGGTTCAGAGCGAATGTATCACATGGTGGCTTGACGACGGCGAGAAAAGTCCGTATATTGTCGACTCAAAAAAAGAGCCATACATGGCAATCTCCCATGTATGGTCAGATGGCACAGGCGGAGGAGTACAAGGCGATGGCCACGTAAACCGGTGCTTATTCAATTACTTCAGAGATATAGCGATAAGCCTGGGGTGCAGAGCAATTTGGTGGGATACAATTTCTATCCCGTCGGAACGGGTAGCTCGACAAAAAGCTATCAGTCGGATGCACGAGAATTTCAGAGAAGCCTCTCACACGATTATACACGATCAGTCCATCGTTCAGTCTCCCTGGACTGACGGCGGTCGCTCATGTCTCGCTCTCGTGCTCTCACCATGGTTCACTCGTGCCTGGACTGCTCTGGAGCTGAGGCTGACTCATAAAGGGAAAGTTTGGGTGATATATGATGATCCCAGCGGCTACAAATTAAAGAATCTTGATGAAAATATCCTAGCTCGTCATCCAGCTTATTCTTCCCGCGGTCATTGGATAGTATCGTCCTTGGTCGAGCAGCTACGTCAGCAACAATTCAACAATATTGGAGATATCTTGAAAGTCCTTCGGACAAGAAACACGTCGTGGCCACGAGATCTTATGGTAGTCGCTGGGCTTCTTACCGAACATAAGCCAGAGACAACCAAGTCTGACTTCATTGCGCTCATTACGCGCGCTGTTATTGCAGGTCTCGTAGTAATTGAAGAATCTTTCCTATACCATGGCCACGCTACTATGAGCCAAAAAGGGGGATGGTCTTGGTGCCCATTCAGCTTGTTGGATGTTCAGCTACGGACCAATGCGGATGAGTATGAGAGAATCTATGTTGATGAACAGGGCGCGACAACTGGATACTGGAAGTACCGCGAGTTAGAAAAAGGGGATACAGACAAGCTGCAACCCTATAGCTTTCACATATCAGTTCACTGGCAGATTCGGACCGCTCTGGATCAGTGGGAGAATTGCCTATTGTTGCAACATCGTTATACATCGCCGAAAGCTCTACTAGTTATACCTTTAGGGTCTGGTATTTCGAACATAGGTGGCGAGGACTATCATGTTCTGGAGTGTCAATTCGTTGGCACTGTATACACATTGCTCGAGTGGGGCGAATCCTTCAGGATCACAGTCCGACTGGGAAAGCTTGAGAGTGAACCAATCATGAATGCAAAAGATTGCATCGACGAGTATAGGGGTATCAAAGGTCCAAGAATGGTTATGCCTCCTTCTGGGCATGATTTGATTTCTATAAGAGAAGCACGGAAAAAGCTTCTAGCCCCGAGCGAAAGAGCATGACTCCAAGCGTCTAACAACACCAAAAACAACAACAATCATCATCACCCTAAGAGCAGGAACCTTCCGTCCATAGCGTAGAGTGATATCGAACTTTGCGGCGAGAATGGCTGTGGCAGATTACTGAGTAAACCAATGCTGTGAGTTGCCCTGCCAGCACATGAACAGGAGAGGGCGTTGCCGAAACAACGGGCATGGAGGGAAGCCCGACGAGGATCGCAGTCCGCGCTCAAATGCGTGTTGAATTTTTTGCCATGTTTTAGTAGTTGCTAGTGCTATCTCGTATAACGTTCCATAAAAACTACACGCATAAATAAGTTCTAAATAATAATTAGCTGGGTCTTAAGGCCTAATAATATATAAATAATAATTTACTATATAATTTAAGTTTAAAAAAAACTCTCTCTATATAAGATAAAGATTTAAGATTTAAATATAAGAAAATATTAAAAAAATAAGATATAAGTAAGTGAGAAAAGTTTGAAACCCTCTTTTTATAATGAGAGAAATAAGAATAAGAAGTATAAAATAGAAGGAGTATTATTTATTTAAAACTCTTTTAATATAATAATCTTAATAATTCTATTATAAATATATTATATATTTTTTTTATTAGTTTCTAATTAAGCTATAACGATTAATATTATATTACTTAATATTATATAAAAGTTATATATATAATTAATATATATAAAAGAATAAGATAGAGCTAAGCTTGAAAATCTTGAATTTATATATATAGTTAATTATAAATTTAGAGTTACTACGCTCTTTAATTAAATCGACTAAGTTATCGCGAGTAAATAAATTAGTATTCGCAATTATTAAAAAAATATCGCTTATTAGATAGCTCTAATTAAAAAATAGATATATATTATTTAGTTTTAGAATAACTTTTTTATTTTCTATTAAAATTTTCATATTTTTTTTAAATTATAAAACGAAATGTAAACTATTAAAGAAATAAAAAAGTTCTAAGTTTAGTCTTATAATTATTAAAGCGTAAGAAATTCAAATATCGCTTATCTAAGTTCGCTTATTAAAGATCGCTTATCTATTTACTCGATAGCTCTAATTTAAAAAAAAAATTATAAATTTAATTATAGGCCTTTACTCGTTAGATTTTAAATAATATTTAATAATTTTTTAAGATTTAATATTATATAGATAGTAGTTTATTATATAATTTAACTTTAGAAAAATCTTTAAAATAAATAATTTATATTTAATAAAAATTATTAATTTTAAATTATATAAAAATATTAAAAGTAATATAATATAGCGAGAATATAGATTAAATATATCTTAATATATAAGTAAAATAAATTAGACCTCTAACGATTAAATAGCTAGAATTTATTATTAATTAAGTCGATATTTCTCGTAAATATAGCGATCTTTCTATAAAAAGAGTATTCTAAATAATAACTCGAATAATTAAATATATATAGAGTATTACGTAATATAATTAGTATATATAAAAGAATAAGATAGAGCTAAGCTTAAAAATCTTGAATTTATATATATAGTTAATTATAAATTTAAAGTTATTACGCTTTTTAATTAAATCGACTAAGTTATCGCGGGTGAATAAATTAGCCTCTCTTATTAAAAAAATAGATATATCTTATTAATATATAGAATAACTTTCTTAATTTCTTTTAAAATTTTAAGATTTTTTTTTTAAATTTTAAAGCGCTGTTTGTGCTTTTCGAATTTTTAAGAATTTTGAAATTTAATCTTATAATTATTAAAGCGTAAGGAATTTAAATATCGCTTATTAAAGTTCGCTCGATAGTCGAATAGCTCTAATTAGATATACATTATTTGATTTTAAAATAACTTTTTTATTTTCTATTAAAATTTTAAGATTTTGTTTTAAATTATAGAATAAAATAAAGACTTTTAGTAAGAAAAGAGTTATTAAATTTAATTCTATAATTATTAAAGCGTAAGGAATTCAAATATCGCTTATTAAAGTTCGCTTATTAAAGTTCGCTTATTAAAGTTCGCTTATTAAAGTTCGCTTATCTACTTACTCGATAGCTCTAATTAAAAAAAAAATTATAAATTTAATTTATAGACCTTTACTCGTAGTAATATATTATTTTATAAGATCTTATTCGAATTAAATAGCGATAATAATCTATTAGTAGAGAAGCGAGTAAATAGATTTTATAAAAATAAATAGAATAGATGTTATTATTTATAGCGATAATAGATAGCGTAATCTCTTTTCTAAATAAATTCATTTTAAGAATAGTAGAAATAGCTTTATATAATCGTTATAAAGCGTAATAAAATATCTAATAATATATTATTATTCGAAATCGCTATTCTCGAATTTAATTTAAAATTATATAAATTTAATAAAGAAATATAGTAAATATAAGATAAAAGAAAGTATATAAGAATAATAATAATATAATTCTCGTTAGTAAAGTTTTATCGAATTAAATAAGAGTATAGAGTAATAGATTTAACGTAATTAAATTATAATTTATAATATTAGCCGTTTTACGTAATTTATAAATATTAATAAATATTTATTATAGTACTAGATAATAGAATATCTCGAAAATCTTAAATTTTATATTTATATAGGCTAATCGAATATTTATAAGATAAATCTTAGTAAATCTAATTTAAATATAATAATTAATTAGATATAATACTTAGTTAATAAGTAATTAAATGATAATAAGAAATATAATAATTTTTAATAGTGTATAAAACTCGATATAGAAGATCTTCGTCGTTTAAAAGCTACGTCTTATCTTATTAATTAGATCTTATTAAAGTTATCTTATAGAATTATAATTTAAAAAAGTCTTCTTATATTGAAATTTAAGTAAATTATAATTTAATAATTCTTACGTAAATTAAAAGCGTTTAATTATAAATCTAAGTTAATAATTTTATCAATTTTAAAGCGAGAGAGTAAATTAATTAAAGTATTCTATTTAGTAGAAATTAAAACTATATTATAAATAATATTAAATTAAGTAAATAATATAATTATTTATCTAAATAATATTATAATTAACTTATATATAAAATTATTATTAATACTTTTAATAACGATATTATTATTATAATAGAGTATAAGATATAATTAATATAAACGAGATAGCTATTTATAAATAACTCTAAAGTAATAAATATCTCTTTTAATTAAATATTTCTCTTATAATAGTAAATAGCGAAGTATATATTAAATGTATTATCTAATTTAAAATAAGTAACTAAATTCTTAAGAATATACTCTTTTATTTTATACTTATTAAAAGTATTTATTTATATAATATAATAATAATATATAATTATACGACGAAGTAGATATATTCTATTTTATTTAAATAGAAAAATATTTTATTAGCGAAGATCTACTACGATCGCGGCGAATCTATAATAATATTTTTATTTTTTAAATAATATAAAGTAAAGTCTTTTTAAAAAAGCTTTATTAGAGATTATTACTTTAATAAAAAATAATAATAAATCTATTAATAACTCAAGCTCGTTATATAAAATACTTTATTTATTTAAAAGAATTTTTATCGATTTTGTTATCTATTTTAATTTATTAAAAAAAGTCTTATCTTTATCTTCTCGCTATTAAATTGAATTTCTAAAAATTCGATAAAAGTATCTTTTTTATCTTTAATATAATTTATCTTTAGATTGTAATTATCGTAAATAATATTAAAGTTCTTATTAAATTAAGTTATATTATTATTAGATAAAAGAATAATAATGAAGTTATTAAGATAGTAGAATAAAATACTTTAAAATAAACGATAATAAGTATCTAATAAAGGGTTTTAGCGAATAAATTGAAATTAAAAAATATAATATATAAGTTGAATAATAAGAATCTATTAAAATAATAGAAGTCGTTTTAAAAGAAATTTAATAGCTAGTAATTCGATTTAATTATAGAGATATATTTAAATACGTTAACGAGATCTTACTTAGTTATAACTATTCTTACTCTAAGCGAGTAAAATATTAATAATATTATTTAATATAATATACTTAAGTACTTCGTAAATCTTATAAATATAGTAATTAACGAAGTATAATCGTAAGAAGAAAAAGTCGTAAATTCTTCTTTAATTATCGCTATATTTTAGAATAAGATCTAATAAAAATAAAATAAAGTATTTTAAGAATTTCACATCTAATCTTATTAGACGATTATTATTCTTCTACTTTTAAAAATCTTTAAATAGTATTTCGAATACTATAGCGATATTAAGATAGAGTTTATTTAATAATAACTAATTAAGATCTTAATAGTTTATTTTAATATTATAAACGATAATTATAAGTAAGATATTAATAAAGTCTTTCTTTTAATCGTCTTTCTTTAGTAAGTGATATCTTTTTAATAAAAGTTTACTTAGCGAGATAAGTATATATAAAAATAACTCGACTATTAACTTAAGATCTTTTAATATTAATTATAACTAAGAAGTAAAAGAGAGTTTTATATTTAGCGAGATAATATTAATAAAGATTTTATTAATATAGCTAATAAAAGAATATAATTAATTATATATATTATATATATATAAATAATAATAGTCTCGAGAATTATAGAATTTATTAGGATTAAATTAAATGTAAGAAAAGAATCCCGATTAAATTTATTATCTCGACGTCGACGTTTATCGAATAATAGTCGAACGATCTCGTTAAAAAAGTAGGCGAGGGATAAATAAGATATTAAGATTCTTCGTACGACTAGCGAGTTAATAGTAGAAAGAAAGCGTTATAAATATTCTTATACTTATAGTAAGCTCGTTATAAAGATAATAAACGTATAATCTCTTTACTAAGTATATCGATAATATTATAATAAGTCTACTATAATAACGACGGAAACAGTCTCGAAATAACTCGATTTAACCTCTTTATTAAGTATATTTATAATATATATAATAAGTCTACTACTAAATAATATTTAATATATTCGATTCTTCTTATCTATCTATCTA